CTTTACATGGTATCCTCAATACTTTTAACATATAACCACATTCTCGCAATTGAATCGGGCTGAGGAGAAAGTGAACAAGTCAGATTTTGCAACTTAAATAATACTTGCATTAAATAATACTCACACATTTTATGTTATCCTGTGCAATGTTTCTGTGTGAATTCACTGTGATAGCAGTAAATTGTTTTTTAATGTACTTTCTACTAAATAACGTTTATGTGATCAGAATTTGGGTTTAATTATAGTTGATGTTTCCTTCGTCCTCAGTGTCAGAGTCGAGTTTAAAGAAAAATAGTAACAGAAATTATAAATGCAATAAATTTTTGACGTAATACTATTTAAGAATATTATATTTGTTTAGAACAATCATTTATCCAACGAAATAAATATTGCTGTAGCAATAATTAGGTAAATTTATTACAAATTACATATTGTAAAGATTTTAGAGAAAAGGGCTAGCACATGACTCATTTCTCTTTAGCTTCTTGCATTAATTTATAAGATTTATTAGCTCTTTTTTGTGGATATGATTGTGTGGTGTATGATTTTGTGGATTTGTTTGTGTGCGGTCTGTAGTCCGTTTCTTAAGATACTGCTCCGGCATTTGCCTGATGTGCACCGGAGAAACCACGGAAAACTACCCATCAGAGCAGCCGACCACTAGAATTCTCCTGCGACTGAATTCGACCTAGCTATCAGGCCGGCGTCGAAAATCTGCCGCATTCGGGGCTCGATCAGAGGAACGGCTGTGACATCAGTTGATGCCGTGAGCCACCTCTCCCGCTATAAACAACTGTTGTACTTTTTAAACATATGTTGCAGCTTATGTTGCATTCGTGAAGACTGATTTTGTTAAAATATTTAATTTATTGCGGTGTTATGAGATAATATATTATTTCTTGTTCTTGAGCAGTGTGCGTGCTTCGTTAAAAAAAACAAAAACACTTTAAGTAGTTTTGTTCAGCAGCTTTTTTGCTGCCATATGCCACTCGTTTTTCAATAAACCAGAGAACTAATATCGAACATAATTACTTTCCATCGGAAATCAGTTATGTTAATTATTCAATTAACATGTTTTTAATTTTCACGTTCCCTGAAGACAGTGACACCCTTACTTAAAATTTTCGTCGTCCATATTAACAATACTGCTCAATCATTACTGTATTCTGAGTATTCTTTGATATTTATTTAATGATGAACTTCGTTCTTCCTGGAAAACTGATAATGCTTTTCTACTTTACTTACTGCAGTGAGTAGTACAAGATTTTTTGAATAACGGGAACAAAGAGCTCATTTCCCCTACGGAAATTACTTTTCTATTCTTCTTTCATCAAAACGAGATTGTGACGTAAAGATCAAAGCTCGCGACTCAGTTAGGGCTGGCCAAACAGACATGTTTTTGCAGCTGATGCTATAGCCCAGTAATTTCAGTTTCTAAAAAAATTAATTAAAGGAAATAGTGAGATAATGAGATTCGATGTTTATCAATGGAAAGAACATGAAGTTTCCGAAGTTCCCCGTGACAGAATATTTGAGCTAAAAGGACGTCATATTGTATTACTTAAATGATGTAAAACTATGTTGCGGAATCGTTGTGGAATGTGGTCAATAATCGCCACATTCTATTTCAGTGTCTAAAAAATTAAATCAAACTTAATCAAATTATAACTGAGATAAATTGCATTCAGTACCTTAATGAGACAAACTGAAAATATATGGCACAATAGGTCAATGGCGTGTTTAACACCTCCCAAAGTAAGTAAAATAAAGATGAATTCTGTCCTTGCCCGGTTATTCCAGAAAATATTATAATAGCAAGTGCTGATAGTTTTGTGTTTTTGAATAAAATAAATGTTTGTGTTTAATGAGAGTAAAATATTTATTCTTTCTTCCATATTCAATAAATAATGTAAATAAATTCTTGATGAAATTAATTCAATAATATTTGGATTACAAGTTAATGATTATTTACGCACCAAGGGCTATATAAGAAATCGATTGATACTAGCAACAAAACGTCATGTGGTGTTAGGAGTAGAAGAATTTGCTCTTGAAGAAGTAAAAAACAGTAAGAAATTTCTGCATTTTTTAAATGTAAAGTATATGAAAGTAATTATCATGAACGCACATGAAATTTAATGTAAACGTACATTAAATTCTATGTGCGTACATGATTATTGCGACCACTGTAATTTAATATTGATTTGGGGGTAACGGCAGCGGAACACGCATACGCACACGCGCAAACATCCACCCGGGGCGAGATTCGAATCCACGGCCCTTCAGCCTAAGCGACTTCGGGTATCCAGGCCGGCAATTGTGTGTTAAATACATTTTGCAGAGTTAGTTGTTGATACTGACTGCTCTTATCAATAAGGCGGGGGACAATTGTGAGTGAAGGAATGGCGTATAAACAAGCAAATTTCTGGCAGCACGCCGTCATGGCGAACACGTGGGCGAGAGAGCCCACGGCGCCGATTTAATTGGATTCTACAATACACTATAAATCAGTTTTGAATACCTTCTTTGTAATCTAAGATAGTCAATCAAAGTACCATGGATGAAAACATATATTTCAATTGATTGTAACAATTTACATATGAAAACTTTTCAATTTATTTACAGTCTATTAATTAATTAATTACATTTTAAATATTTTAATGTTTTAGTAAAAGACTGAATAAAAATAATTTCAGCAAATGATGAAATTTTAAAAAGAAATAAATATCAGCACTACGTAAAACTAAACTAATTCCCTAACCCCTATATAACGCAGTGCATTTTTGCCTCGCAACCCTCTTTAGTGTTGCGTAATTTATAAACGGTCCCTTATACATTTTTACGAATATAAAAATTAATTCCGACATCCGAAAATAGTATGCATGTGCGTACGTGTGTACATGTTTGGTATGTTGATGCGTGCACTTGTATGTCGTATATGTGTGCATGTGTGCATGTGTTGGAGCGCACGAATCATGACCCTTGTTTGAAACCACTGAGAACGTTTGAATGCACCAGGAAACTCTAAATAAAAGTTTGACGCAACCCTGAACGTACAATGCACTTCGCACGACGCGAGCTGCTGATACTGCAAGGCCAGTGGCCCCAGGGCTGGATCAAACCGGCCGGCACCCCCCCCCGCCCCGCTTTCACCGAACCACGCACGCGCGGTCCTTGGCCATGTGGTCGCAAGGGGACCCATCGCCAGTGATCGGATTTTTATGAAATTACTGGCGTCTGGAATTTTGTCAAAGTATACTTTTTGTTACTGTTACTAATTTATGATTTTCAACAATAGTAACCACTCTACTGCACTTCTAGATTTATTTTAATAACGTTCATGTTACCCTTTTTTGCTTATTTAAGCTTCTGAGAAATATTTTATTTTGTCTTATTTGTGCCTTTTTCTGCCCTTCACATAATTATTTTGCCATTTGATTCTCCTGGCATCGATCTCAATCAAGTTGGATATGTGCCTACCGGCAAGCCTGGGCAACACGTAGGAATGGTCGTGTTTTGTCTTTCTGTGGAAGCTTAGGATGTGTTAAAAATCTACACGAAAAAGAAAGATTTCAATGAAGATTTTATTTTTCATTGATACCGATAGGCTTTATTTGCTTACAAGGAATCGCATCCTACTTTTTAGTGTGCCTTTTGATCCCTTTTGAGGACAGCTCTTAATATGATAAGGATGCTCTTAAATATAATATGCCCTTTTCAATGATGGCGATTACTCAAGAGCGAAGGAAAACTATTATTCAGTTTTCACCGATGCCATTTCAAGATTCAAAAGGGAGTCCACAAAAGCGTTTCGAAGAAAGGCGTCGCGAGTAAAACAAATTCGTTGCCATCATCTCGATTGGTGATGTGGAATCAAAATTACAAAGAAGGAACCTTTCTTTACACGTTATGTGCTAATGTAAATTTATGAGAGAAACTGGTTGTCAGACATATAGCCTAAGAACATAATGCTACCGTGATTGACTGCTATTGAATTCTCATTTTTTTAATTGCTATCATTAATCTAAAAATTAAAATATATACTCGAAAAAATAAAGCGGAAGGTTAAGCAATATTGTTTTTAAAATTGATTTAATAAATTATTTATCAATTTCATTTTAAATTGTGTTTATTTATTTGTTTGTAATTTAGGAAACCAGAGGGTTGTTTGATTGTACATCTTCATTATATTCTTATCGTTTTCGTTAATATGTTTTTTAAAGCAATCGTAGGTAACTGTATTTTGCCGTTCCAGGCTACGTATTGGTTGATATGAATAAAAAGGAGTAAGTACTCCAAAAACATTTGTCATTAGTACGTGAAGGAAATACTTCTCATAACCAATTGCTTCTTTTCTTGCGATTGGTTGCGATTGGTCGATTCTCGTCTGTTTTGTTTGTCTTCGTTACCGCGTAACGCGTGCTTGTTCCTGATGTTGTCGACCGCGTTGGGTTAAGTGGTACAATTCACGTGCATTGTTGGCGAAATCGTAGGAAGTATTCCGTCATTTCCTCGCTACCTAAAACCTCACAACCAGCTCACAACAGTTGTGTATAACTTTTCTTTGATACGATTTGAGTCACCTAGTAATCGCTCTGGAGTACTTGCTATTGAATTATGTCGTACAGATTGCGTTTTCAAAGAAATTACTCCGAAAATTCGACATAAATGCTTCGCACTAGAAGCAAATTTTCGATTTTATTCATGCGAAAAATACGCAATTGCTCCTAGGCCGAGCAGTTACTCACCAATGGAGAAATTGCGCAAGATAAGAGCAATTATTCACGTCCTTTATTCACATAATTTGAAGTTATTGCTTTGAAAACTCTAGAAAGAAGTAATAGCTCATTTTTATTTATACCATCCATTTCTCCGGACTCTACGGCCATCACCCGTCCGCCGACGGGATCTCCGTCCAGTACGTCATTCGCCCTTATCACCCGGAGTCCTCTGCCTCTGCCCCTTTCCGCGCCCCACTCTTCTCGGACAGGGCGGCTGCTCCGCGCCGCGCGGTATATAGCGCCTCCCGCCGGCTGCAGGGCCATTCATTCGTCGCAGCTGCCATCTCGCACGGTCACGCCGAACGGTCTCGCCATGCTCGCTGCCACCAGATGTTTGCCCGGCCGCGGCCCGCGCATGCTCGAGTGCGGGCGTGCTTTGGCTGACGGCACGCACTCGGCCGCCGGGGCGCAGCGCGCTTGCACGGGGAAGACTTCCGCCCCGCAGGTAAGAGGGCGGTCCGGAAGGGATACTAGTCACGCTTCTTCTTCTCCTTCTTCTTCACCTTCTTCTTCTTCTTCTTCTTCTTCTTCTTCTTCTTCTTCTTCTTCACCTTCTTCTTCTCCTTCTTCTTCTCTTCCTCCTCCTCCTTCTTCTTCTTCTTCTTCTTCTTCTTCTTCTTCTTATCCTTCTTCTTCTTCTTCTTCTTCTTCTTCTTCTGCACCTTCTTCTTCTTCTTCTTCTTCTTCACCTCCTTCTACTTCTTTACTATTTCCTTGCCTCTTCTCCTTTATCCTCCGTTTTCCCCTCCTCCTCCTTCTACTTCCCCTTATTTTCATTTTCTCCGCCTTTTCCTTGTCTCTCCTCCTCCTCCTCCTCCTCCTCCTTCTTCTTCTTCTTCTTCTTCTTCTTCTTCGACTTCTTCTTTTATTACATATTACAATTCCAAATGACTAACGAATTTTTACACTTATTTTAAATGTACCTCTCCTATACATTAATCGAATTTGTAGAAAAGGAAAAGGGTTGTTTAACACAGTCATTTATGGTTGGTTTCCTTGTAATTGCTTTGATTTTCATCTAGGATTGGACATAACAAGTGAAATTGCCGGTTCGTCATTCTTATTGTTTATGTCATGAATACAAAATTTAGACACTCTTCGACACTTTACCCCACTTTCATCTGCCGCTATTAAAAATGAACATTTTCTTTATTTAACATTATGAAGCCGGGGCGCACGATACAAGGTACGGGACAAGGAGCAAAACTGACTCCGACGCTGTCCGACATGTCCATCCCGTCTGATTGTAAACGCGCGGCCAAGTGTGAGCTCCCCGCATAAATAATGCCGTTTCTCCCGGACCGGACCGTCCCGGGCCGCACTTGGCTTAATACAGTCTACACCGACATTTACTGTGAGTTAAAGAGTAATAATAAAGAATAAGTAATATGTCCTCTAACGCAGGACTTCGAGAGTTATCAGGTATGCGATAGCGAGGGCGACGTAAGGTGATGGATTAGGGATCTGGCAAGAGAATAAACAGATAAATGATATCAATTCGAATCCGTGTTTTGTGGATCCTTGATACCGAAAACTCGATTGATGGTAAAACGTCATGAATGTCCGTCCGTCCGTCCTTCCTTCTGTTTGTGGTCAACGCTAATGATAGTACGTAGCTAGTCTAGTTCAGACGATTTTCTCAAAAATTGATATTTCGAAATCAATTTGAGCGAATTAGAGACCCTACGAGTTTGAAACGGATCTTTGGATTTTTGCGGGTACTTTTCAACAAGCGTCAACATTTTCAAACTTTTCTCAATAATATCTCCAAGTTTTTTAATTAAACTTGTCCTCGTATAGCGTAAAGAACGTTTAAAATAATGGCGCGCATCTTATTGTCATTAAATCTCTAATTTTCGGAAAATTTCAAAAGTTCAAAATTTTTTCAGCGTCATCCTTCGATTACTATATAAAGATCACTAGTTTTAGTAAGTACATAAACTTATTCGTAATCTACAATTTTATTGGACGTAGTCTCACCATACTTATATTCACTTTATTCTTAGATGGGTATTACCCCACATCCCGAAAACAAAAATTCTTAAAATGCAATTCCATCATACAATTATGCTATTTATCTCAGATATATATATGCGATTTATAAACGATTTATACCACACATCATATCATATATATTCACAGACCGACACATACATATTCCGAAGTGTTGCCTGTTTTCGGTAGCAAAGCAATGTAATTTGTATTGCATTTTATTCATTACCAGCCTACTCTAACGAGCTCTGCGTTTGTGTTTCCAGAAGCAGGTGGCGGCGAGTCAGCCGACGCGAGGCATCCACACTACGCCGCCTCTGATGCGCTGAGCCTCGACCTTCGCCGGCCGTCTAGTAGACGCCGATCCTCGCGGACGGACGCTGCAACCCACCGAACTGCGCTGCAAGCAATTCTCGCTACGCTGACGCGGGACCCTTTCGCTCCACACATCGCACATCCTATGCTTCATCGCACTACGCATTGCACGCGATTTTGTGTCACCTTCGAGCACCGTATTGAGATTTTTTTGTGTATTTGTCACCATCACCATATTATATTTATTTTATTTATTTGCACCTCTAACGTTTGTAAATAGCATGTGAAATAAAATATTAACGATATATACTGTTAAAGTAATTTCCCTGCTTCCTCGACATTGCCAACCCAAGTGACATAAGGAAAATATAACGAAAAACTATTCTCTCTCTATTAACTGCATCAAATCCAGAAGTGCAAGAATAGAGTTGAAAGTCCCACTCCTATCCTGAACATTGCAAATCCACGAAAAGTAGGAAAAAATATTGCAGTATATGATGAAATGTTCTCAGACTTTATTAGCTCAATGAGATTTAGAAGTCCAGGAAGAGATTTCCAGATTTCTGAGTTGAAAGGGAAACATTTTTGTGACACGAGTTAGATGAACAATATCAACAAGATACTGTCACTACACGCAAGTAATGCATCTCTAATGCAAGTAATGCATCTCTAGATGCAAGCTAATGCATCTCTAGATGAAGTAATGCATCTCTAGATGCAAGTAATTGCATCTACTAGATGCAAGTAATGCATCTCTAATGCAAGTAAATTTGTGCATCTCTAGATGCAAGTAATGCATCTCTAGATGCAAGTAATGCATCTTAATGCAAGTAATGCAACTTTAGATGCAAGTTAATGCATCTTTAGATGCAAGTAATGCATCTCTAGATGCAAAGTAATGCATCTTAGATGCAAGTAATGCATCTCTAGATGCAAGTAATGCATCTCACTCTTCTGGCGCAAGAGTTGACCTCATGTTCTGTCATGAGGGGTTTGATTAGATAAGGTAGCAGTAGAGTTATTTTCGGAACTCAGGGATGGATTTATAAGCAGACTAAAAAACGTGCTTGATACAAGCCCTCAATAACTTTCTAAACGAAATTATATATTAATTGTTCCTAATGTTAAATGTTAATTGTTAAACAAAATAATAGGAACAATACATTAAATGTTTTAATTGCATATGTCAAAGTTTATTTTAATGTTTGTTTTATCTTATGTAGAGTGGTTCAGTATTATTTACGGGATGCATTCTGCCATTGCTTTCTACGTCTTGAATTCCGATCTGTTCTCCTTTTGTTAGTTCTCCTACGTCATGAATTCAGTCCAACTCTATTTCCACGTGATTTTACGCTTCTTTCAATACCATCTGAAGTCTCAGGAATCGGTTTGATAAATTAATGAAGTATGTAATATATACTAATGGGAAACATCCTAAGGCGTTCATAAACCTCTCGGTTATTCCGATCGAAGTAATGACCTCGTTATCTGAGATATATAATGTAAATTTATGAAAGTAATAATGATAATTACAACAACAACAACAACAATAATAATAATAATAATAATAATAATAATAATAATAATAAGAATAATAATAATAATAATAATAATAAAAAGAAAGAGAGATTGTTTGGTGTGGTGTGGGTGGGTAAGAGAGAGAGGCAGGAAGAGCGACAGAAACGGGCAAAAACTGCAGATCAGAAAGAAGAAAGTAGTTAAAGAAGTAGATTAGGTCGGAAATGGTTTTCTTTGAGAATTCTTGATTAAACTTAGGGAGATATTATTGTCTAAAAAATAGGACACTTTTAGTGATGACATGGCTATGATTAGAACATTAATGTGATTGCTATATTTTGTGACTTGCAGTCCATTTCATTATGTATCATGTCCAAAAATTAATCATATACCACAAAAGTCAACAATATATTTCTACTGATTACAGAAAAGATGCAACTGATTTCCGTTGAACACAATTGTTTATCACAACGAGTTGATTAAAGGATCTTAAATGATCAAATAACTTTCAACAAATTACAAAGTATTGCATTTTGTTGCGACATATGTTCTCTCTGGGTATACCGTTTTATTCTTTGGAATTAATTATCTATATTTAAAGAATATATTGCTATTTACTATCGATTGTGGGACTCTCTATTCTGCAAAAGATATTTTTTATCTGTTTGACTGCATCCCCCAAGTCAATATGCAGCAAACACCAAACAGAAGAAATATTTTTTTTATAATTTAGTTTAATTTGGCAGTCCTTTCCACGATGCAACCCCGGCAAAATTATAACTATGAATTTTTCTCTCGCAAATGTCCCAATCTATTGCTGTGTGACGATGAGAATGCCCATCATGACGATGAGAAAGCCTAGAAACTCACCTCTTCACCGTATATACTGGTCTTCATAAGAAAGTCAGAATATACGATGGAGTGATGTCTTTCATGCACGAAAGCGCTTACCCCAATGGCTGACCACCTCCTGGTTGACAAGGCCACTGGCAGTCGAACTGTCGGGCTGATAGGCTGTCGAGCTAACGGACAGGACAAGTTTTTTGGCACCGTTCTCCTCGCAAATAACTTTATAAGAGAGCAAATGTTAGTTTTGTGGGGATCTCAATGTTAATAGACATGTTACTATCTAGAAGGAAAGCTTGTTCTAGGATTATTAGTTCAAATGTTTTTCTTTAAATTCCTTCATAGAATAACAGATACTTATTACCGTTTCTCTTAAGGTTTTTGATTATACGGAAATACAAATTCCAATTTGAAATCCTCGTAAGATATTGAACTTGGGAGATTTTTACAAAAGAGTATCATTTTTCATCATCAGTTTCTTTCTAGAAAAAAGAAATATTCCAATTTATTCCAGAGTGTAGTCCAAGTGTAGATATAAATAAAATGATAAGGATGATGATGATGAGAAGTGAAAGGGACAATCACAAATTCGACCATGTTATGCAGGAATCGAACCTGTAATCTCATCTAGGCGCAGAGGACGGCTGCCGTAACCCGTGCGCCATGTGGACCGTCTTTTATTATATTATTATTATTATTATTATTATTATTATTATTATTATTATTATTATTATAAGTTATTATTATTATAATTATTATTATTATTATTATTATTATTATTATTATTATTATTATTATATTATTATTATTATTATTATTATTATTATTATTGTCTTCAATTATTTCACAGTATCTACTGGTCGGTATGTCAACCACACACAGGTATGATGACCAGGTGTGTGGTTGCTTTACTGAAGGTTCAGATGGCCTTCTGACAATACGGCATGTATTCAAAATTACTGTCCTTTTGCATATTATATACATTCCTGGTATCCAAGTGAAGACACTCCAGTGCCCGAAGTGTCATTTTCGGGATCACTCCCGTAGCTGATATTTATTATAGGCACAGTCGTCACTTTAACTGAAGTTCCACTGAGTTGGCGACTTCATAGGCGAGATTGGTATACTTCTGGATCTTCTCTTGATTTTTCCCGATATGTTGTGGGTAATTGGGTATTGATATATCGATAAGGAAAACCTGCTGTTGGTTTCTATCAATGTACGTTATATCGGGTCTTATTGCCGCCGACAAGTGTCTGTCAGTGATAATGCGACGATCCCAGTAGAGTGTGTGCTCACTAACTTTCAAGCACATTCTGAGGCACATATTTATAATACGACACGGAAAGTGGCGAGAGTAAGCCCGTTCTCAACGCCAATAATGGTGTACCTGCTTCGCCACTTCATCATGCCTCTTTTTGTTTCCACCTGTGCGTGCTGCTACATCCACTTGTCACGTGTTGGATATGTTTCGCTTGCAGCCTCACATCTTCTACACGAGTCGGAATGAATGGTAGAAATCTCTCAGAATGTGTTTTCTGTAAGTTCAAATGTGGTACCACTTGGTCCTGGATAGCTATCATGAAGGCGTCTGTCTCCGGAAGAGATTCGCGTGCTGGAGCCATTGGTGCGACGGAGATGTCGACTTCTGGTTTACTCAGCTCGTGAGGGTACCTTCCATGCAGTGCCTTTGCTTTCCATAAGGTTATCTTCTTTTCCGTTTCAATGATTGGTTGAAGCAGGCGGATCAAGCTTTTTCAAGTTCAGAGAGAATATAGTTATTATCAACTGCGCTCACTGCTTGCTGAACTCTCCCACAATGTTTCCAAAAGTATCTTCTGAGTGAAGCAATTTGAGAGCTGTGTAGATTTATGAGATCTACAATACCATCGCCCCTCCTTGCGACCTTGGAAGGGTAAAACGCTCAGTACTTGAATGGGGATGATGTTTCGGTGTTGAGTCATAGCGGTTGCGAATTGTTCTCTGGAGGTTGTCGGCGGTCGGTATTGCTCCATTTAATAACGCCAAAGGAGTCAGCACTGGGAATAACAAATGAATTGGATGGCCTGCACAAGGTTTTCTAAGGCAGAGAGTTGAGTTTTAAAAGAGCCCATGCAATCGTTTACACACTTCATTTGTTAGTATATTTCTTAGTAACAGTGTGTTTGATTCGGAGTGACTGTTGGAACCGCAAGTATTTGTTAAGTTTCCATGGGGTTCTATGAAGGTAATCTTTTGGTTCATTACAGTTTCCAAATTTCATAACTTGCATATGATCCCCAAATGATATTCACTCTCCTGCACTTATCCAAACCGAATTTCATCTTAATGTCGTCAGTGAACTTCTCCGTCAAGTTTATTAGTTGCCGAATATGACTCTCAGTGTCTGCATAGAGCTTCAGGTCATCGCATGTAAAGGAGATGTGAGGACACGAAGAAGAGTTGAGTTCCCCCTTTTTAAGAGCGATTCCATAATTAGATGAATTAAAGTAAGAGTAGAGAGGGGATTCAAGGCTAAACAGAACAATAAAGGGCTTAAAGAGTCACCCTGGAAAATCCTCGGCGGATGTGGTAATAGTATCTGTGTGGACGGATTGTTTTTCCATTAGAGAGATACAGTTTTGTATTCCAATCGACTCATCGCAGTTTTCCAGGAAGTTTTGGATAAACGGGT